CGGTGAGGGTGCGCAGGCTGCAGAGAACCTGAAGCAGGCCTCAAAGGACTGAATCTCGGGCAGCTGAGGCAGTTTCCAGACTTCTCAACCCCTGAATGCGAAATACAACTTAGAAGGTCAGTGGGAAAAGTCTGTGACTGCGGTGAGAGAGAAGCCAGGTCTCAGCGGCAAGTCTCGAGCGCGGCCCAGGGCTGCCGCTTTTTCCTGAGCTTCCAGCCCACAGACTGAGGGGGAATTGAGTGGCTGATCAGAGGGGGATTGCAAGAATCTCTTTGCCAGTGCTGAGGCAGGAATCTCTTGCTTTACCTGTGCTTGGATCTGGGTCACAGTTCTGAGGGGCAGTCCTGGGGCAAGGAGGAGCGCTGGAGTGGTGGAGCTTGTTGTGGCTGTGGAGATGAAACACCTCGACCCTTATCATACCACCTTGGAAGAACTGAAAATTTACAGGTCCCTAGAAGTACCTCTGAAAATAGCTGTACAAACCTCCGAAGCTTGGGACAGTACACTCTTCACATTGGAAGCAGACTTTTACCTTAACAAAGAGTTTAAAACTCAAGTAATTGGCCAGGATCACGAGTAAGCAGTGCAAAAAGAGTCAGACTATATTATCTTATTTTGGTGACAAAGAAGATCAAAACATACAACCAGAAGAAGACAACAAAGCCAAAGCTCCTACATCCAAAGCCTCCAAGAAAAATATGAATCAGTCCCAGGCCTTGGAAGAGGTCAAAAGGGATTTTGAGATGCAAGTAAGAAAAGTAGAGGAAAAACTGAGAGTGATGCAAGAAAATCATGAAAAACAAGTCAACAGCTTGCTAAAGGAGACCCAAAAAAATACTGAAGAAAATAACACCTTAAAAAATAGCCTAACCCAAATGGCAAAAGAGGTCCAAAAAGCCAATGAGGAGAAGAATGCCCTAAACAGCAAAATTGGCAAAATGGAAAAGGAAGTCCAAAAGATTACTGAAGAAAATACTTCCTTAAAAATTAGAATAGAGCAATTGGAAGCTAGGGACTTTATGAGAAATCAAGACACTGCAAAACAAATCCAAAAGAATGAAAAATTAGAAAACAATGTGAAATATCTCATTGGAAAAACAACTGACCTGGAAAATAGATCCAGGAGAGAGAATTTAAAAATTATTGGACTATCTGAAAGCCATGATCAAAAAAAGAGCCTAGACATCATCTTTCAAGAACTTATCAAGGAAAACTGTCCTGATATTTTAGAACCAGAGGGCAAAATAGAAACTGAAAGAATCCACCAATCCCCTCCTGAAAGAGATCCCCAAAGGAAAACTCCTAGGAATATTGTAGCCAAATTCCAGAGTTCCCAGGTCAAGAAGAAAATATTACAAGCAGCCAGAAAGAAACAATCCAAGTATTGTGGAAACACAATCAGGATAACACAAGATTTAGCTGCTTCTACATTAAGGTACTGCAGGGCATGGAATATAATATTCTGGAGAGCAAAGGAGAGGATTACAACCAAGAATCACCTACCCAGCAAAACTTAATATAATCCTGCAGGGCTAAAAATGGTCATTCAGTGAAATAGAGGACTTTCAGGCATTCTTGATGAAAAGACCAGAGTTGAATAGAAAATTTGATTTTCAAATACAAGACTCGAGTGGACCATGAAGAGGTAAACAGGAAAGAGAAAATCAGAAGAGACTTATTAAGGTTGAACTTTTTACATTCCTGCATGGAAAGATGATATTTGTAACTCATGAGACCTTTGTCAGTATTGGGGTAGTTGGAGGGGAAAAAATTATATGTACGTATATATAGATATAGATAGATAGATAGAGGGCACAGGGTGAGTTGAAAATGAAGGGGTCATATCTGGAGAATAAAATTAAGGGGTGAGAGAGGAATATACTAGGAGAAGGAGAAAGGGAGAGGTAGAAGGGGGTAAATTACCCCACAAAAAAAAAAAACGAGAAAAGAAAAGGCTCTTACAGTGGAGGGGAAATGGGGAAGGTGAGAGGGAATGAGTGAATCTTATTCTCATAAGATTTGACTTAAGGAGGGAATAACATACACACTCAATTGGGTGTGGAAATCTGTCTTACCCTATAGGAAAACAGGGGGGGACGGGGACAAGAGAGTAGGGGAATGATAGAGAGGAGGGCAGATTGGGAAAGGGAGTAATCAGAACCAAACACTTCTTAGGAGGGACAGGGTCAAAAGAAAGAATAGAATAAATGGGGGGGGGCGGGATAGGATTAAGGGATATAGAGTTAGTTTTTCACAACATGTCTACTATGGAAGTGTTTTGCATAACTGCATATATATAACCTATATTTAGTTGCTTGCCTTATCAGTGAGGGTGGGTGGAGAGGGAGGAAGGGAGAAAATTTGGAACCCAAAGTTTTAAAAACACGTTTAAAAAAAATGTTTTCACATGCAACTGGGAAATAAGAAATACAGGAAATGGGGTACAGAAATCCATCCTGCCCTACAGGAAAATTGAAGGGGAAGGGGATAAGAGAAGACGGGGAGAGATAGAAGGGAAGGCAGACTAGGAGAAGGGGTATTTAGAATGCATGCCATCTTGGGATGGGGGGAGGGGCAAGATGGGGTGAAATTTTGGAACTCAAAATCTTGTGGAAGTAAATGTTGAAAACAAAAAAAAAAAAATAAAAATTACCATAAAAAAGAAAAATAAAAAATAAATAAAAACACATTTCCCCTTCTCTTGGGATTGGTACTGCCTTCTCTCCCCAGATTCACACCTTCAGTGGTAGTCTAGGACAGGATTTCCAGAAGGAAGAAGAGTCAGGCCAGGTTTCTGAGGAATATGGCCTAGAGCTGGTGTAAATCCTCAGAAATACTTCTTGATCTGAGCCAGGAACTGTTACAACCTTTTCTTTTTTTCTAAGAGCCCCAAAGAGAAAACATCTGGCCTGCTTCCAACCAGAATTTCTCAGCTCAGTCAATAAGCATTTATTAATCACCTATTAAGTGTCAAGCACTGTGCTAGGGACGTTGTTGTTCAGTCCAGTCCATAACTCTTCATATTCCCATGGACCATAATGCCAATACTACCCATGGGGTTTTTCTTGGCAAGGACACTGAAATGGTTTGCCATTTCCTTCTCCAGTGGATTAAGGCAAAGAGGTTAAGTGACTTGCCCAGAGTCACATAGTTAATAAGTGTACGAAGCCGAATTTGAATTCAGGTCTTTCTGACTGTAAGCCCATATCACTGAGCCACCTGTTGCCTGAGCTAGAAATAAAAAGCAGCAAAAGGCAATCCGTGCTCTTAAGTTCTCAAAGATCTCCTGGAAAAAAAAAAGTCCCCTAGAAGGCACCACACAGCTTTTCCATTACCTATTCCCAAGCAAATATACCACCTTCCTGAGGTATTTTAATAGGTTTTTGCTTTAGTGTTTGCAAAAAGGAAAACTGGGGAGGAGAGATCTTTGCATTCCACAAAGAAAAAAAAAAAACTAAATAACCAGAGCTTGCCACCCACGACCCTACACTGAACCTTGGATTTGAAATGAAACACAAGATGGAGAGACTGGAGGAAGATGCTCAAGTAGAGGTAGCTGAGAAGGCTGGGCATTACTACAGCTCCTTGGCCAGCCATTCCCAAGTGGGCATTCACAAGCATGTAAGGCACATTCACAGACTGGGTATACGCGGGTCAGGGACTACCTATTTATTATCTTGTGGTAGTTATTTAATAAATGCTAGCTGACTGTCAACCCAGTGACATCATAAGCTCCTTGAGGGCAGTGATGGAAGGGGGTGGGGAGGAGAGGTGGTAGGCAATAGAGTTTTAAAAAATTAAAAGGGTACAGGCTAGAAACTAGGACAACGGGTTCTGCCCTAGGGCCATTCACACTAGCTCTGCCGCGTGCCTCGGCTTACTCACCTCTATTACGGAGTAATAGCACCTGCTTACCCCACCCCGCCCAGTCAAAGTGTAGATCTCCAGAGATTTCAAACAAAGCTCTGCTGACTAGCAAGTACTGTGCAAATACAAAAGCCGCCTGTCTGGCACCCCCTTTGGGGTCCCCTCGGTGTCCACAGCCCTCAGCATAAAGAATGCATTTGAAAAACACCTAATTAATTTCTAAAACGGTATGTGTGGAGCACAGAAGTTAATTTTAAATGCACTGGTGGGTCCGCACGGGAATCTTGGGCGCCCCAATCTTCCCGCGGCCTCCCTCGCCAGCCCCGTCTCTACATCCCCGCTCCCTCCGCTGGGCTCCCCGCCTATCTGGCTGACCCGCCGTGCAGCAGGCCGGGGGTCCGGGGGTGACTCACTCAGAGGGCCGGCCGACCTGCCTGCAGGCCGGGGGACCGGAATGTGCTCACTTCCTCAGCAGCCACGCACCTGCCCTGGATTCCTGGAGCACCGCCCGGCCCGGCCCGGCCTCCGGCGGATGTTTTCCTTGTCCCCTCGGGGCCGGCGCGCGCCAACCGCCAGCTCACCCCCACCCCCCAGGACCGAGGACAACCACCGCGTGCGCCAACGGCCAGCTCACAGCCCCAGCTCTCCCTGCCGCACCACGAATACAGGCGCGCGCGCCAACACCCCGCCGCCGAGTCCAGGCCCGTAGCGCACGCCCACAGTCCCTACCCCGACCAACGCTTTTCGGGTACACAGTGCAGTTCTCGTAGCCATCGTTCCGCCACCCCCCCAACTATATTCACCAAAGATACCACACTGCCCCTCCCTCGCTATGCACATGCATAGCCAGCCCCAAACTCTACCTCCCCATCCCAAGCTACAACCTGGAACACAACACACCCGCAAGGCCTGTTAGAAGACCCCCATCACCACGACTCCAATTAGGGTCGACTGCCAAACCTCCCTTAGAATGCAGATGCCCAAGCCTGTGGCAATAACAACCACCTACAATCCCTGCTCCCGCCCCCCACATACCAACAAAACAGTCGATCCCACCCCACCTGGAGCCAAGGTCTATCAGTTAACGTCTGCTTCAATAGGCCAGCAAAAACCCAGACCTCCAGGTACCTCCTAAACAAATCTCTACTCCAAGGCTCTCCCTACTTCCCCACAGATTGCAAGTCACCAGCTTCGGGGTGGGTGGGGGGTGGGCAACTAGCCAGTCTCCAAGCTCCACAGACCTCAAAGACTACCAGTCCCAGGTAGTGGTCGACGAGATTGCTGGTGCCCATAGGCTAGATTCACTCACTGCATTCGAGACAAACTGCCACAAGAAGACCCTTGCAGGTTGGTACCCAGGATCTACTCGACCCAATTCAGGAGGTGATTTTTTTTTACTTTCGTCGGTACTTATTCAGGGACGGGTAAGGACCCAAATGCAGGGAACCCTCTTTCCTGGAGATCACTGGGAATGTGGGGAGAGGCTGCAGAAAAAGAGACTTTCTAATCAGAAGTTTGGTAGAGGTGCAAGGGTTCCTTAAAATTCACTCCCAAAATTCAGTAAGTAGGGACAAGGACTTAGGACAAAGAGAGCCAGAGGATTTGTTGGAGGGGAACAGGAGAGAAGGGGCAATTGGATATTTATGGAAGTTTTAACCACGTTTTTAGAGATCAGAGATGAGTGAAGTGCCCTCCAATTTTGGCAGTGGCATTTGAAAAGAATGGATGCCACATGGGGGTGGGGGAACAGGAATTTAGGAGTCAATGAGACACTTGCCCCAGGACTACTCAGAAGAAAAAAGTGAATCAAAAAGAGTTCAAATCAGAATCCAGAGAAAAGGAGCAGAGAAAAGTGCTCCTCACTCAGCCTTGAAGTTTGGGGTTGGAAGCAGAAAGGCTACTTACATAGAGTAGGGAGATATTCTGTCTACACCAACCTTTCCTTTAAGAGTCAAGAGGGAAATAGAGACCAGAGCCAACCAGCTCCAGAATATAAATTTAATGGTAGTGGAAGGATCATGTCAATGCTGGGACCTTACAGAACCACCTGCCCTCCTCCCACCATCTTTTAAGGGAACCGAGGTCCAGAGAGTCCTACAATCAGACAGAAACAAAGCTGGGATTCAAAGTCAGATCTTCTGCCTCCAAATTCAGTGCTCTTTCCCTTACACAATAGTGCCTCAGCTACCCACCTTAAGGAATCCTGTGATGGCACACAGATGAAGAATGGGACAGATAGAGTAGGGACATGAGATAGAGGGAACAAGTAATATGAAGCACAGGAGGGCAGAGCCTGTCAAAAGACAGCTTCACCCAGGGAAATGAAAAGGGGAGCAGTAGCACCTTCTGTACTAATGGTAGGAACAATATATCTCCCATATAAGCAGTGCTCATTACATATGGTCTAACATACAAGGCTTTTGGTGACTAGTCTCTTGTACCTTGAGCAGGCAGCTTCTGAGAGGTTTAATAAGGCACATTCAAAACACCAGGACAAAGGACATCTCTAGGCTTTGCTTCTCTTCTTCCCAAGACCTTCCATTTCTAGCCCAGCCTAGAAGGTATGAAGAGGACCTGTTCTGTCCATGCTCAACCAAGTACATTTGTCCATATTAGCTTAGTGCAATTCCCACCGGGAAGCTTGGAAGGGAGGCTAGCTTATGTGGATGGGGAGTGGCATCTTCGGAACATCTGGATAGGAGAAACCCATCTCTAGGATGTTAGAGATATTCCCTACCTCAGAGGGAAAACCTCAAACTCATCTCAGGACAACTGTGTATGAAGATTCCACCTGTGAAGGGAAAGTCTCTAACTCTAACAGATTTAGGGGAGGGGGAGCCTCATAAAGGGGGAAAGGGAAGAGAGAGGGCTCTGTAAAAAGGTCCACAACTCCACCTGAGGGTGGTAGCCTCATCTCTGGAGTACTCTCAGATGTGGGGGGAACTCTCTTCACTCCAGGTGGTAACAGCAATGTTAGTTCCCTTTCCTGGAGCCTCTGGCCGTCACGCCCCACTGCAGCTCCTTGGTTTGGCTTCTACACAGAACTAACCGTCCCCAGGAAATGCCTCCCTCCGGTCCAGGCAGGAATCCCAATACCCTACACCCTCCCACTTTGGGGGAAGGAGGGAAAAGGAAAGAGGAAAAAATGCTCTCTCCTCTCTAGGTCAGGGAAAAGATCTGGGGACCACCTAGCAGTCTACCACCCCTCCCACTTCTCTTTACTGGGGAAGTGCCCAGTCCAGTGCCCCATGTCCACCAACCCCCACCCCTCCCAAGCTGTGCTGGGACATGAATCAGCTCTCACAGCTTGTTAAAGCTGGACCTCTTGTTTTCATGCCCTCACCCCAGGAAACACCAAGTTACAGCTTTTCCAGCTCTCCTCAGCAGGGGGCCAGGGTCCTCACTTTATAAACAACCCCATGCCTGCAAGAGCAGAGGGCATAGAATGGTGTGAGACAAGAGCCCAGGGGAGACAGACTAAGAGGGGAGATAGAGAAGTAAAGGAGACAAGACAAGAGGTTCTGAGTGAGAGGAAAGCAGGGTCTGTAAAAGTTAACCCTGCAGGAATGGCACTGAGGCAGTGGGTTGGGAGGAGCAGGGGGACCCCAAGAAGCTGGGGAACCATCTGCTTGGTGATTTCACTCCTCTTGCAACTGCAAGGAGCTCACAGCAAATGCTACTTCCAAGCTCAAGGTAAAAAGGACAGAAGAGGGGAGAGCAGGCAAACAGGAAACTGGGGGCCTGAGGGGAGATGATCCGAGCCCAATCCTTACCACAAGTATATTTCCTTCTTATTTATGGAAGGATGATCCCTTTTCCCTTCTTTCCCACTCCTCTCCTGCCCCCCCCAAAAAAAATTAGTATTGTAATTCTCCTGCCACTCCAGGCCAAAGCTCTCCTCGTAAGGCATGTAATCCCTGCTAACCTTTCTCATTCCTCCTCAGCTCCCTGTCATTATGAGGGGAAATATTTTACCCTGGGTGAATCCTGGCTCCGAAGCGACTGTTTCCACTGCACCTGCCTACACCCCGTTGGTGTGGGCTGCTGCGATACGTAAGTGATTTGGGGTTACTATGATGTGCCTGCCTGGAAATGGGAGAGGGACTGGGAGGAGGGAAATGACTAAAGATGACATAGAATTAATGAGATGTGACAAAAGGGATTAAGGCATGGAGAAAAGGAAGAATGTGTTGTATTGGGATGGGAAGAGGGGGTAAGTACAGAATAGGAGAATGTTCAGGGTGGAAGTCAAGTCCTATTCTTGCTTTAAAACAAGGGCTCCTGGAATACAGTGGTTTAACTAGAGGCAGAGCTGGTGGGAAAAGGCAGCACCTCAGTGTGCACTTTCCTTCCCTATGATGTCCACCTAGGTCCCAGCATCCCATCGACTTCCCAGCTGGGTGTGAGGTACGACGGGAGGAAGGCACCTGCCACATCTCCCTGGTGCAAAAAGCTGAGCCTCACCTGCCCTGCAGGGGAGGCCCCCCCGACCTTGAATGGGGCTCAGCCAACACCCCCGACTCCGGGGCCCCAGGACCACGTCCCAGTTAGGTTCCACTGACCATCCACTTCACTGCCTGCCTGCCCACTGCGGCTGCTGCCACCTCTAGGGAAACCACTAGCAGCTGTGAATTTATTCTAAATAAATAAGTTAATGGACAGCCAAATGCCTGCCATTGAGTCCCTTCTCAGACTCACACAACCCCAGAAAGGGCCATGTAGGAGTCTTGACTTTCATGCTGTGTCCAAACACAGCCGTGCCACAGTGGGTAACAGGAGCCAGATCAGATGGTGACAGTGCTGGCACTGGGGCCTGGAGCAGCGTAGGAGACCAGCGTGGGGCTGGTAGGCAGCACCTTGATGGGGAGGTCCCAGCTGAAGGTGTCCACCGGCACTTGTTCAGGTCCTGTCCAAACCACAGGCTCAGGCTGCTCCATGGAAGGGAGCAGTGCCAAGCCAGGTTCCCGAGATGTCACAAATTCAAAGTGTAGCCGCCACTTCAAGGACACTGGAAGAGAAAAGATGGGGTGAAGGGTCAGAATGAAAGGGAGAAGGCAGCAAGATGAGGGGAAAGACAAAAAAAAAGGGGCAGTAATGAGAAAGAGATAAGAAATATGGGGAAAAGGGAATGGTTATCAGAATTGGACACCTACGGCGGGGGGGGGGGTCATAGATACCTCTACAAATGTTTAGACTAAAGATACTCAGACCAGATCAAGCAGTAGATGGCAAGCAGCTAACAGCCTAAAGTTGTGTGTGGGGCCAGCCAGTATCAGGTGGCTTGGAGTGAGTGTGTTGGGAAGCAGGAGTCAACATTATCACAGACGCAAGAGCATTTGCTAGTGTTTGGGGGTAGGATGAGGTGGTTCAGCAAATCATAGGATCTAAACGGTGGGGGAAGAGGGGAGTTAGTGCATTTGGAATGGTCAGTCGTGCCCACCCACGCACAAAGTGTAGTCTCACCCCACAATAGTTGGGAGCTGCACTGGAGTGAGGCTTATATCAGTGTAGAGCCTCACCAATGGCCGTGCAGAAGCCTGGGGTAGAGCTTAGAGGAATGGGAAGAGAGAAGCTAGTTCTGGTTGTGTGTAGACAGGATTCCTGGTGTCGGGCATGAGTCACATGGGACACTGATGGAGCCCCACTTGCCCCCCGGTGCCGCTGGTACTCAGGCTGGACAGTCTCTTCTGTCTGTAGACTCACTGAAAACTGATGGCAGGGAAAGGCATTCACGAGTGGAAATTAGTGGCCACTGCATGGATAGGATGCCCCAACTTATAGCCTTCTTTACCCATACACAGTCTTTATTTATATCACTCTACTGTAGGTCATCCCCACCACCACCTTGGATATGCTATCTCACCACCCCCAAAAAAGCTTCCTTCATAGATCCCTTCCCAGCTTCCCATCCATATAAACAGGTCAACTCCAAGTTGCAACCCCATCCCCCATTCCCCCCATGGTATTCTTTCCCCCTCACCTGCAAACAGGCCACAGTCCCTTCCCCCAGGTTCAGGGTCCCTATTACATCCTCTCCAAGTCTGTATACGGACTTGAAGATTCCAAAGGTCCCAACTTTCCCTCGACCGTCACTGATATTGTATAGATCTGGGGGTAGGAGGAATGGAGATCTGTGAGCCAGGACTCCCATGCCAGCAAAGGTCCCTTCCTAAGGATCCAGCAGGGATTGGATTAGAATGGCAACAGACTGGGAGGAAGAGGGCTCAAATAGGACAGGTGGTATGGGTGAGGGGCAGGGGGCTGGGGAGGTGGAAGTGGGGAAATTCCTGGGCCCTAGAATGACTTGAGGGCAATCCTCCCCACAAATTGGTCTATGAGTATACACAGAGGAGTGTCTCTGAAAGCAGTTTTTTTCCAAGGAAGTTAACCTTACACAAGCTGAAGCAGAAGGCAGCCCTCCTCACAAATTGATCTATGAGTATACACATGGAGGTACCTCTGTAGGGAGGCTTTGTGGGGAGAAATAGCCTTACACAAACTTCGGCGGGATGTGGCAGCCATGAGGAACTCTCCTGCCAATTCTGCTAGTCGTGAATCCTTTCTACCTACTTCTTCTTCTTCCAGGAATGGGCTGGATGGAGCCACAGCCTCATCCTGGGGAAACAGGGCATCCTGGAAGCCTGGGGAGAAAATTTGGAATAAAGTATGGAATGGAATGGAGTATATTCGAAGAGTTAACAAAGGTTGGGGGTTAAGAAGTACTGGGAGATTGGAAACAGATTAGGGAGACATGGATCTCCAGAACAGAAACAGAAAACAGATGGCAGTGTCAGAAGGATAGAACGAATAGTGAAGCTATAAAGGAACAGAATAGTAAGCAGGTAGTATCTGGAAACGTACAAAGCTCCAAGATGGGAAGAGATCATGGAAACATGAGACTCAACTTATTCCCCAGGGCCCCAATCCTTACCATCCTATAACACCTTTAGTGGAAATGGGAAGCTTCCCTGAAGTCCTCCTCCTTCCATACCCCAAAGACTAATGTCTCCTCTACCATTCCCCTTCTTTCCAATGACCCTGCCACTCACCAGTCAACACAAGCACCCTCAGTGGGACCCTAAGCAAAGTGATGGGGCAATTGACCCGCTGGCAGCCAATGGTCAGCTTGTAGACATACTTGACAGACTGACCCCGAAAAGATGGTGGCCCTTCCACAGGAAGCACTTCACTGTAGGAATCTAGGTAGGAAGAAGTCAGGAATAAGAGAATGTATGCCTAATCCTGTCAGGCCACAGGGAGGCATGTAGAGGGTATTAAAAAGAAGAAACTACCCTACTCACAGGATTTGGACTCTCCAGGGTCTAGTCTCAAGTCACAGAACAGAATCTTTGGAGGAGTAGATAGGATGCATTGACCCCGCTCACCTGGAGAGAGGAGACCAGTAAAACTGGATGAGACTGAAAGATACAAAGTCAGGGACAGAAGAAGCCATGAAAGGAGTGGGGAGGGGATACCAAGTAGTGATGACAGCATCTGTACTTAGGGTGCCATGCAATTCTTAGGCTATCCTTTCCTTTGGCTATGATAGGGGCATGCAATCCAGTAATCTTACTCTCATCCTGTGTAACAAGGATCATCAGCGACCCCTCCCATATTATAGTCACAGTCATACACACAACTGTATGACAGGGCATGTTATCTCACCTCCATATGACTGACAGTTACCACCCCAAATGACAAGGACAAAGAGTCTGACACTAACACTTCCTGCTACTCTTCCCAACCCTGACAGGGACAACACAGCAACACCACCACCAATACTACCCAACCCCCACATAGCAATACCAATGTCCTCAGATAATAAGGATCTAGTCAAGGCAGATTCCATGCCCTGAGTAACAAAAGATACGTGTCCCTAACCTCGGTGTGGCAAGAACACAGTCTGGCTCTCAGGCTGGACATCTGGCTGGCTGGAGTCTGGGGGGGGCAGTGCCACACGGCTCTCACTGGCATGGAACTGGCAATGTATTTGGGCACTGGCCCAGGCCAATGCTTCACTGTTGGTGAAGGGACAAGTATTACAGAAGGCAGGTCCTTGATCCCCACAAACTTTGTGGATGCCCATTCCCCTCCCCTCAGCACCCCTACTCCAGTCCCAAGAAACCCTGATCTCCTGAGTTCTATCCTAAAGTCACATAAACAACTGTTCCTGAAAACCACAGGCCTCAAAGAACTTCCAGAAGGCAAATGTTTAGTGGTCTTAGAAAACAGGGTCATGAGATAGGGGAGTCAGGCATACCACTCCTCACAAAGATTAGGGTGTAACAATCAAGAAGGTCAACCAATCAATCAACAAACGTTTGCTAAGTACCTACATACCAGGAATAGCACAAAGTGCTGGTGCTCAGGATTCAAAGACAAAAATGAAAACTTCCCTACCCTCAAGAGTTTATATTCCATGAAGTGAGAAGCAATATGTATATATATAAATATTTTTGGGATATACACAAAATAAACATCTTAATGAAGAGGGGAGAATGAGAGAAAGAATAGTTATAGAAACTGACCATCCCAAAGACAGGGACAGGGGGTCCCTCCCTCAGCCATATGCCACAGCCCTGCCCTGTGCCTTGCCATTTCACAGTGAGTACCTGGAAGCAGAGGTCGCCGTGGGAGATAAGGGGTTTGTGACAGTCACCACACACTCCAGTGCCTCCCCAGCCAGAAACACGGGGCCCCGACTCAGCTCTGCTACCAACTCAATCATGGTAGCGCTGGGAGCAGCTCTACATAGGAATGGCAGAGATCAAATGTCAGCATTGAACATGGAGGGCAAGGGGCGTGGGGAGGGGTGGTGGAATCAGTTAACAAGCATTTACTTAAGCACCTCCCGTGTGCCAAGAGCTGGGGCTACAAAGAAAGGCAACAACCAGTCCCTGCTCTCAAGGGCTCGGTCTAATGGAGAAGACGACATGCAAACAACTCGGCAGACAATTGACGTACAGGGCGGCCTGGCGGCAGATCTTGGGTCTGGGAAAGAGGCGAGGAGGCTGCCAGCCGAGTCGGGTGGGGAGGTGAGAGGCCAGCACCGGGGGGACCCGGGGAACGTGATGCCGCTGCTCCGAGGCTGAGGCCATCGGGACCGAAGGCACCTGATCGCCCCCCAGGAGACGTTGGCGAAGCAGAGGACGAGCAGGGCGCGGCGGGCCGGCCCCTCCCCGCCCCGGGCGGTCTCGGTCCCCACCCCGGCCCACTCCTGGTCTTCCGCCTCAGCAGCTTCCCCGGATTTACCGCAGCTGGCCCAAGGCCCCGCCCCAATGACCCGTGGCGGCCCCTCCGAACCTTGGGCTACCTGGGCCGGCCCGCGCCTCCACTTCCTCGTCCCTTCGGCTCGGCGTGACGTAGCCACGTAACGTGACGCGACGTGCGGGTCGGCGCCGGCCCGGGAGGCGGTACTTCCTGTCTGATTCCGCGGGAGAGACTCTTCCGGCCGAAGAGCCGGTAGAGGACAGGGTCCGGGATCCGGGATCCGGGATCCGGGATCCAGGATCCGGGACTGCTCCCACCCACCTCCCCTGGGACCGGAAGTGGGGCCGCTTAGGGGCTGGGACCTGGCGCCTCCGTCCGGTCCGCCCGCAGGGCGGGGCGGGGCCTTTAAGGCCCGATAAAGGGGCTCCTCCCTCCTCTCCTGCGGCTGACCTGTATTATCTCTGGACCCATGATCTGGAGGTCTGGGTCCAGCCGTTCCCACCCCGGGTTTAAGGCAGTGATTCGGTGCCTCTCCTTTGTGGCCCTGGCTCAGGTCGTCTCTGCCCAGATCTACCCCCCCAGAAGGCCTGGGTAAGCCCGAGGGCAGCGAAGCAGGAGACGCGCCCCGGCTCACCCCGGAGCCCAGGAACTTGACAAGACGGTGCCCGGGTCAGAGCTTTGCTAACGTGGGCCTCGGAGACTGCAGGACCAAGAACCATGGAGGGAGAGTTGGGGACCAGGACCAGGACCCCCGAGGTTAGAGGAATCAAGGGAGACCTAGGGGCCCTTGGGTCAGAGAACTGTGGCTCCCAAAACATGGGGAGCCCAAGCTATGGAAGCACAGAGGACATTCCAGACTGTGAGAACCCAGAGGACACAAGGGAGAGGAATGATCCAAACAGTGGCATCCCAGAAGACCCTGGGCAGCTGATGGCCGCCTATGAGGGCACAGCCATGGGCCACCAGGTACCTCAGTTTGGCTGGCGCATCTGCTTAGCTCATGAATTTCTTGAGAAGAGGAAGCCCTTCCATGCCAACAACGTCTCCATGAGCAACTTGGTGAAGCACTTGGGCATGGGTGTCCGGTAAGTGTTTCCTTGCTTCTGACTCCATAACATCTTACTTAGCTAACATTGAGTGTCCCTTATGTTCTAGACATATTTCTCCTTCCCATTACCCCATTATTTGAACTAGGGGAAAATAGAAGAAATAGGGTCTTGCAGTGAATGCATGTCATATCTTGACCACTTAACCTCTAGGAAACTCAGGACCCTGCATTGCTCAGAATTAAGACTACTAGACTCTGCCCTCCAGTCCCCTTTTTCCTGAATTCTTGTGTTTTCACTCTAGGCTACTGTTTATGTTTCCAGATAGCTAGACACCCAAGGCAGGGGAAGGAAAGGTAGGGACCAACTATTTATGACTGTTGTGAGGCAGCATACAAGGTACTATGAGTTAGATTTCCACCAAACTGTAAACATTTTCCAAATTTCCTCCTATCCCATCGTCTAAGCCTCCCTTGAACGCTCACCCTAACACCTTCTGGATTTGGGGACAATAGTCAGTATGGGAGGCAATCTGCATTGACTCCAAGAATCATAAATTTAAAACTTGAAAGAACCTCAGAAGTATTAGTCCAGCTGCTTCAGTGGATAATGTGTGGTTTAATGGTTGCATTTAATAATCAGTAGTAAATTTGAGATGCTCTCAAAAGAAAAAAGATAGATGGTAGCACATGGTACCAGAGACTTTCTATTTATCCTAGAACCTGTCTAAGGTTCATTTCAGGGCCATGGTTCTCTCCTTTCTACCCCCCCATCCCCAGATAGCAAGCCGAAAGAGAATGTTGCTTTACAGTACGAGGTGAGTAAAGTGGGAGGACATGAACCTCAAAATAAGGCACAGACAGGTGGATGCAGGATAGGCAGAGGAGCATGACCCTGAGTCTGATTAGGAAACACACAACTGGAGAAAAGGGTAGGAAAAGAAACCCAGAACTGATTATATCTAAGGTTGGGAAAAGATAAGAGTGATATGATAACTACAAGCAAAGGTTATTACTTACCCTGAAGGCCCTAAAACAGGGGTGGGGAACCTGCAGCCTCAAGGCCACCTGCTGCCCTCTAGGCCCTTGGGTGTGGATCTTTGACTGTATCCAAACTTCACCGAACACATCTCCATAATAAAAGGATTTATTGTGTAAATCTTGGACTCAATCAAAAGGCCTCACCCAGGGACCTAGAGCATCACCTGTGGCCTCAAGGCCACCGGTTCCCTACCCCTGCCCAAAAGTCTGTGCATGGGTTCCTTCAGGTCCTTTACCATTCTCCCATCAGTTATTGAGTAGGGGCAAGTCAAGCTACCTTGTGTAGAGACAACAGGTGACAGAGTTCCCTTTGGTTAGCCATAGCTATGTGTTAGAAAAGGCTACTCCATACTTTTGGTGGGCACCAACCTAATCTGGTTTTTCCCCTGAATGGTTTGAGCCAGAGAGTTCATCTTGTAGTTCTTGGGGAAGTGTAGGAGGAGTGATAATATGTGCATGGCTAAGTCTTTCCTGGACCCTTGAATTCAGAGGAGCTTGACCACAGGCCGAGTCATCCTGGATCCAGACTGGGGCCTCAGTTTCCCCATGCCAGGGTGGGGTGGGAGCTGTGACACAGGGAACTGGAATGAGATTGGGAGTTGGGGTACCTCAGTAAGAAAAATGTAGGGTGGGGCAAAGAGGGAAGCCCAAAGGATGACTCTATGTGATATGATTGAAATTACAAAGAAAGCCAAACAAGCCGAGGAATGACTAGGCTGCTCTTAAGATGAAGGAAGAGAGAAGGGCCCAAGAAAGGAGATTATCAGAGAGGAGAAGGTGTGGGGAAGGAGAAATAGTGCTCTTCCTGGGTCACTGTGAGTAAGTCAATCAGTAAGCATTTACTAAGCACCTACTGTGTGCCAGTCACTGTACTAAGCACTAGGGATACAAAGAAAACCTAGAGATAGTCCTTGTTCTCCAGGAGTTTACAAAAATGTTGCAAAGGTGAAACCAACAGGTCTTGGTCAGATTGGATAAAAGGGAAGAGAGGGAGAGGTATAAAAGATGTCTACAGGACATCTAGTTTAAGATGTCTAAGAGCAATTGGAGATGTGAGGCTGGAAGTCGACGGAGAGATTAGGGCTGAATGAGTAGATCTGAGAATCATCAGCATAGAGATGATCATTCAGTCCATGGGACATGATGAGATAGACAAATGAAATTGTATAGAGGAAGAAGAGAAGAGGGCACAGGACAGAGCCTAGTAGGGATACTGATGGGTTAGTGGTCATGACCTGGATGAAGATCCAGCAAAGGAGACTGAGAAAGAGCCGTCAGAGAGAAAGGAGAAGAAACAAGAAAGAGTAATGCAAGCAGAGTGATGGGCAATGTCAGAGGCTGCTGAGGGATCAAGAAGGATGAGGACTTGGGGGCAGCTAGATGGTGCAGTGGATAGAGCACTGGCCCTGGAGTCAGGAGGACCTGAGTTCAAATCCAGTCTCAGACCAGACACTTGACACTTACTAGCTGTGTGACCCTGGGCAAGTCACTTAACCCCAATTGCCTCACCAAAAAAAAAAAAGGATGAGGACTGAGAAAAGGCCGTTGGATTTGGTGATTAAGAAATCACTGATTACTTTGGAGAGGACAATTTCAGTTGAATGATAGTGAAGGCATTTACTCCAGATGGCATTCTCAAGGAGTTGAGCCACAAACATTAGAAGAAATATAGGATAACAGCTAGCAGCAGAGATGAGTGGTTCAAGAAAGGGTTTTGACAGTGAGAGGGAGACATGGACGAGTTTGTAAGCAAAGCATGTTTATAGTGCAGCAGTCAGCAGATGGAAAGAGATTGAAGAGTGAGACAGTGGGGACAAAAGAGGGGGCACTCTGCTGGAGGAGAGAGGATGGAATGGGATCACTTGTGCAAGTAGAAAGAGTTTGCCTTGGGAAGAAGGGTCACTTCTTCATGTGAAATGGGGGAAGGAGGAGATAGTGTCTGAAGACACCCTAGTGATACGAGATGAGAAGGGGAGAAGAGCAAAAGGACTTAATTTTTTTCACTAAAATGTGAGACCAGATTCTCAGATGAAAGAGTTGAGGGGAGGCAGAGCCATGGGAAGTTTGAGAAAGGATGAAAAGGTTTGGAAGAGCTGCTGGTGGAGAATGGGATAGTAAGTTAATAAGGGAGGTATAAAAGGATTACTTAGCATCAGTGAGGCACCAGTTGAGTTTGTGTAACATAAATTTGCCATCAGCACTGCCATAGCTAGGTAGAAACTTGTTTCTCACCTTTCGCTTAAGCCATACTCTCCTGCCTTATCTTTCAACTCACCTTTCCCCCCTGCTTGCCAAACTCTATCCCCAAATTTCTTATGCCTTCTCTCTTTCCATCTTAATTCTGTTTTCCTCTTTCTCACCTTCCCTTGGAGCGTACTGTTTATCCCACTTCTTTCATCTCATGTCTGCCCCTGCATCTCTCTTCCATTTCTCATCCCATCATTTGTTAATTTATTTTTATTAAATGCTTACTTGTGCCATGCCCTATGGAAGATCTTTTAAGGAATACCAAAGTAGTCTAGGACTACTCTGTCCTCTGAAGAATTTAAATCTAGTTGGCTTAAGAGGATGAAACCTATATCATTATTGTTCAAATGTTTGAGTACAGTAGTCGATTACTAAAATTAATGGTATAAAAAACTCAAAAGGCAACAGAAGTAGTGATAGGCTAGAACGGGGAAGACTTAATGAACCAGATGAGATTTGAGCTAATCCTTCAATCAACAAACATTTATTGTGTACCTAATACTTGCAAGGTGTTTTTCTTTGGGGAAATAATAAGATTTAAGGCATAGTTCCTGTCCCAAA